ATTCGACCATCTAATGCTGAAACATTTAGATTAATTTGTTTCAAAACATTTTGCATTGCAAAATCTGTGGTCATGCATGCAACTTTGACATATTTCTCTTCAATAATTTGTGAGTTGACCTGTTTTCTAGCTAAATGTACGTTTGAAGGATTAATCCAACTATCGTCGTCATCTTCATCTTCACAACTATCACTTAAACTGTTTTCTGAAATATTTGGATCAACTGGAATTAGCACTTCATTATCAGAATCATCAACTCCACAATTTATGGGCTCAAGCTGAGAGGTTTCTATCGTTGTTGTGATCTCTGTATTTTTAATATTATTGTCTAACAAATCTGTATTAGTAGATTGTATTTCATCTTTTAATAACTGTTTGTTATCTGAATTGTCCTTTTCAAAAACTCCTTTTTCATTAGGTATAAAGAAACCTGTTATATCAGGATCTATTTCTTTTACAATACTCTCAGTGGTAGGTCTTGGTAGAGTAGGTTCTGTTCTCAGCTGTTTTAAACCACATTTCTCTTTCTCCAGTTGGTAGGTTAGAGCTATAACCTTTATATCAACAGCGGATAGACTGGGATAATCCCCAGTTTTTTTAGAAAAATCTGTAACAAATTTAATATTCTCTGGGAAAACATCTTTTACAACCAAGTTGTAAGGTAATGTAATGAGTCTTCTTAACTGTCGTTTATTAGTAACTTCGTTTAAAACATCCTGACAAGTTATTAAATTTTCTGCAATTTCCTAAAAACATATATATCATACAATGGCCACACCATAACAAACTATAAATTCGAACTTACATGAAGTGGAGCATTTTGAATAAAAGCAGAAGTATCTACCACTAAATATTCTACTTGTTTCTTGTCGGAGCTGGACATAACTTCTGCCATTTAAAGAATTCTCAAATACACGTGTTAATATAAAAGTTCTGAACATGAAATAAAAATAAATAAAAATATAACCTTACATTTTCCGTATATCGGACAATTGAACTACTATCACGACTGCAGGGAATTTAGCCACAGGAACTAATTGTTTTTTACATGCACATCCCCAAATCACATCCCTGATACAATTGAGTGTCAAATGTCAAAGAATATAAATATAATTATACCGGGTGTATGTTTTGGTTTAACCGTTTAATTTTTTCGGTTTTTCTTCTGAAATTTTTTGTTTTCAAATTACATCAGAGAAATTAAAACAAGTACGGTATATGTACAGTATTTTCACAGTCTAAAAGATATATTTTTTTATAGTAAAGAATCTATGTAATATGTATGGAGTAAGTGTGAGAGTGTAAGAATTTATTTCAGATACCTAGTTGTTTCTATGATACCCAGTTACCCACTTATTAGCCTCATTTAATTAAGGATTCTGCTGAAAGACAAGATTACATCACATCATTTTATCCAATTTGTCACATTTAAACTATGAACTTTTTTGAAAGATTATTTGGCTTTGGATTTAAAAATGAGTAAGTAACTTTATGCCTGGTAATTTTTTGTTACTTACAGAAATTTACTTTTTAAGAACAAAACTGTGATGAACTTTTCGGTTTATTATTGATCCCATTGAGAAAAAATAACTAATATTTTTCAGGTCTGGAAATAATTTTGATTCATTCAAAGGTAAACAACCAGACAATCATATTGAGGAAGCTAGAGATTCCTTGCATATGCGATCCTTTTTTGAGGACGAAATAGATTCTTTTATAGAATCTATGGGACTCCCGAGTTTGCCACAGTTATTTGGTAAGTATTCCGCCTATTTATGTGATTAACAAGTGTAAAATAATAACAAATTTTATAACTTAGTTACATGACAAAGCTTTTGTTTGTCACAGTACAGAAATACCTACATTTATCTTTATGCATTTTTCTAAAACATTGTCAACCAAAAAGCAATTTTTTTGTCACAACTACTATAATCATAATTTTCTTTATAAATAAACGTTTTAAGATCAACTTTTCAACTAGTATAAAAGAAATAAAAATAAGCGATACAAAGGTACAAGATTTTAGCATTATGATAGAGTTGGTGGTGTTGTTAGTGTGTGTAAGTAGATGGATAGACTGAGGCAGTATACTTCCGTGGCCAACTAGGTCACTCGCTGGTCATGAATTTACCATTCCTGGGATTATATTTATGGGATTGAATCAAGAAAGGACATCGATAAATAAGAACTAAATAGCATTATAATTATTAATAATTAATAATTTTTATATTTTAATATTAATTTTAATTTTATATTAATTTTAATTAATAATTTTTCCATACATATAATTTTTCGTAAAAACATTTTATGAACTTATAACGGACATTTTATGAACTTATAATTTCTAGCTATTGCAGGCGGCCGATTTACATGTTTACATATTTTCTAGCTATTGCAGGCGGCCGATTTACATGTTTACATGAATTTTTTTCCCAAAGTTATATGATAAGTAGCTCTTGGGATACAGCCGGCGTTCATTCTTAGTTGGCCATCCGGTACAATCAGTTTTGATAATATATTGAATTCAAGTATTGTTTTAAATTTAATATGTCTGTCACCTACCGACAATTTTTTTATATTATATCTTAAATATCGTAATTATGGGAAATATCTTACTTTGATACACTAAAAGGCAATACTGTTTTAACTTCAATGATCGACTAAAACCGACAAACAGGGTAATTTAAAATAATACAGGGTGGCGCACCTTATTCGCCTCGGTTGATTATACGAAAACGGAAAGATGTAGAAACAAAAATTTTTATGGGTGTATGTAGAGAGGCAATGTGCATAATTTAAAATAATTTTCAAATGTACAGGGTGTGTCAGAACTAAGATCCATACCAAAGTTATATATTTTTTCTTATGGAACACCCGGTATTTATTTCATTTTTGGATTCTTGGGCATAAAATAAGGCATTTATTATAAGGGTTTAATATGTTTAAATGTTTTGGTTTTTGAGATATTCAAAGATATTTAAATATGCATGATATAATAAAAAAGTTTGTCATTACGCTGTACATTACTTTTCAGAGTTAATTCTTGTGCTGACTTTGAAGCCAGAGAAATAAACTTTACTAAAAATTTTTATTGCTTCTGGCTCAGATTTTGAATTAAAAGCGATTTTTCAATAAAATGGCAATCAAGATGGCTGGTGTCGCCATGGCAATTTGCCCATGGCAGTTTAACTCAGCACAAGAATTAATTCTAAAAAGCAATGTAAAGGGTGTGAATAATAATACATTCTATTGTAGGCATGCTTTTTTAAATATCTTTAAATATCTCAAAAACCAAAGATTTTAAACATATTTAACCCTTATAATAAGTACCTTTTTTTGAGCATAAGAATCCAAAAATGAAATAAAAAACTGGGTGTTCCATAAGAAAAAATATAACTTTGGTTTG